TAGCCAGCAAGATAAATAGAAATCCCACAGATTGGGAGAAGATCTGTACTAGCTATACAACAGACAAGGGCCTCATATTAAAAACATACCTAGAGCTCAAAAAATTAAATCCCCAACAACAAATCCTCAAAGAAACAATTGCCTGATTAATAAATGGGCTAAAGACTTGAAGAAGAGTTCCCTGAAGAGGAAATAATAGCCAATAGACACATGAAGAAATGTTCAACATCTCTGGTCATAAAAGAAATGCAAATCAAAACTACATTGAGATTCCAACTTCACCCTGTTAGAATGGCCATTATTAAGAAAACAAATAATAACAAATGCTGGTGGGGATGTGGTCAAAAGGGAGGCTACTACACTGTTGGTAGGAATGTGAACTGGTTCAACCACTCTGCAGTATGGAGGTTCCTCAAAAGATTAAACATAGATCCAGCAATCCCACTCTTGAGCATTTACCCAAATGATCACAAGCTAGGCCACACTAGAGCTACAAGCACAACTTTACTCATTGCACCATTATTTACCATGGCTAAGATATGGAACCAGATGCCCCTTAATAGAGGAATGGATCAAGAAAATGCGGTATATACGTAATGGAATTCTATGCTTCCATCAGAAAGAATAGCATCGCCCATTCATAAGAAAATGGAAAGACTTGAAAAAATCAAGTAGGCTCTCTGGTTTCTCTAGTTTGTAATAATCAGTATCTGTCTAGCAGAGGATCCTAGCAGAGGATCACAATAGCTCAATAGCTATGTACATATGACCATATAAAATGATGTTAATCAAAATGAACTCCAAAATATGGAAACGCGGGTTTTGTTTTTGTTTTTAATGTACTGTGTGGTTATTTCTTTTTTTCTTTCATTTTTTTTCCTTTGGTTTATTCCATGTCACTGTTTTTTTTATTTTGGTACCCTGTGCCTTGTATATATGTTTATCTGATGGGGGTGGGGGAAGGTAAATGGGAGAAAAACAAGGCAGGGGATAACAACATTTGAGAAGAAATATACTCATTACTTACTTATGTAACTGTAACTCCTCTGTACATCACCTATATAATAAAATAAAAATTTTAAAGAAAGATATACACACACAAATACAAACACACTCATACTTGTGGAAGTAATGTTTGAGGATCGAAAAAAGGAAAATGGAGTTTAATCTACACAAAGAAAGTATAAAAATATTAAACAGGCCTGGAACCATCATTCAAGTGGTAGAACACTTGTCTAGCAAGCATAAATATGTAATTTCAATTCCCAGTAATAATTTCTTTAAAAAATAGAATAGAAAGGGAAAAAAGATATTAATTTTTTGGTAAAAGTAATTTTATAAAGAGGGGTTACAGATACATAAGTAAGAAAATTAGTACAATTCTTGTCAAACATTATTTCCCCTCCTTCATTTTAGCCTGCTATCCCTATCCCCCCAACTCCCCTCTCAACCAAGTTGTTTTCCAACACAATGTCTTGAGAATATCACTGTTGCATTGATTCACCTTTTGTCCTTTGTCTCACTATTTCTGTGATTCCCCTTCCAAATCCCAAACCAGATAAACTTATATATGATACAAAGGGTACTAAAATAAAAACAGTGACAACAATGGGTAAACCAAATGGGGAAAAAATGAAAGAAAAAAGAAACAGCTTCATACAGTACACTAAGAAAAAAAAAACTCTTGTTTCTATATCAGCTTGTTTTGGTTTTTTTTCTGCCTCAATATTAATAAGCACAACAAAATGTTTAATTCTCTAAAATGATTATTGGATAAAATAAACATAATCCTAGAGGAAAGATATGGTATGTTTCCCAAATTACCCAGATCAAAACTTAGTTAGGACAATTTATCCAAATAAGGAAATATTAGCTCCCCCTTTCCAAATTTAGTAAAGGAACTAAGGAGAGAATTTATGCTTTCAGGCAGTTCATTTGGGAGAGCTACTCAAAAGTACTTCATCTCACAGATGTTCTTAACTTCTTAGAATAAACTTCTCTAGTATTGGGATAGGCCTCTTTATATCTAGCCTGGAAATATCCCCAAACTATGTTCCTATCTTTCCCTTGGTTTCTATTACATTAATAATTTTTACCTCTCTAACTGAATGTCTATTTTAAGCTTTATGAGGTAACAAAGGAAGTAGAATAGTATTTATGCAGATAACTAGGGAAAAAAGCACTCAGGTACTGGAGGGAAGCGCAAAGATCTTGAAGCTGAAGAATGCTCAAGAAACAAGGAGAAAAACAAAGGAGGAGGTAACAACGTCCAATAAGAAATGTACTCGTTACCTTACTCATGTAACTGTAACCCCTTTATACAATATTTTTACAATAAAAATATATACAAAAAAATGTTACTATTCTTTTATATAATAAATTTCATCATAACAACTAAAAAAAAAGAAACAAAATGAAGATTAATATGGCTAAAGGGGAGTAATTAAGAGAAAGTGAAGACATACCAGAGAGGTAATACAAGGTCAGATCATATAGATCTCTACAGGTTATAGAGAGAATTTAGGCTTTATCTTCCATGGGCTGTAAAAACACTGGAAAGACTGAAGAGAAATGTTATCTAATCTGACTCACTTGGTTTTAGCAAAAGTATATTGTTGAGTGTGGACTTGAGTCTAATGCCTGAGCAGAGAAACAAAGTAAAAGTAAGACAGAAATCTAAGTGATACATGATGATGGTATGGACAGAATGGTGATAGCAGGGGAGATGAGAAATAGAACTCTAGGCATGTGTTGAAAAGAGGGGAGACAGCAGCTTAGCTTTGAACATAATGAGTATAGGATGACCACTAGATACTTAAGCAAAGTAAACAATTAGATACACTCTGTCCTTGAGTTCAAAGAAAGAGATTCAGTGTAGATAAAGTTGGGAATCCTCTGCATAAAAACAATACAGTTTTTGAAATGACAGATAATTGGATAAAACTACCTAGAAGGTAAATCTAAACAGGAAAAAAAAACAGATATCAAGAACTAGGAAAAAAAACTCAAAGAATAAAAACACACAACTATATTCCATTGAAAGTCAACAATTTTAAAATATCTACCAAGAAACTATCATCAACAGTAACAAAGAGAGAAAACAAAGTTATTAATAAGAGCAGTTTCAAATCATTTTAGCAATAGAGCCTGGTTTAGTAACAAAAACACAATGAGCAATCCTATCACATTCAGCTGCTCTCACTGAAGAGGAGAGGACTGGATTTACTCTCCTGCTTGGTATCATTCTTGTCCTTGGAGAACACAAAGGAATACAGAATATAGATAGAAATCTATTGCCCCAATGTCCTACTTAAAAATACAGGTTTAAAGATGTTTATTAAAGGTATTTATTTTATGTTAATTGCCAATAATAGCCCTTTTGCTGTGTTTTTCCCCAGAACACACAGATTAAAATAAATTGGAAACTTTTAACAAAATAGTTTGTACTTGTTAACTTCCATGAGCTTCACGAGCCTCAGCTGTTCAAAGGGAATAAAACTGGTATCAGCATAAATCAATATAAATATGTTAAGTATATAACTTATCATATATAAGTTAAGTAAATAACTTATCATAGGGGTCAGGAATGGTGCTCATGCCTATAACTCTAGCTGCTCAGGAGATAGAAATTGAGATGAATGGAGTTCAAGCCTGCCTAGACAAAAGGTTAACACAAATCCCCATGTCAACAAACAAGCTGGGCATGTTGGTACATGACTGTAATCCCAACAGGTAACAATTGGTTATGACTGCTCATTGTCCAAGAACAATGCAGGGTAAAGGAACAATACCCTACCTGAAAAATAACTAAAGTAAAAAAGGACTGGGAGGATGGCTCAAGTAATAAAGCACCTTCCTTGCACACAGGAGGACATAAATTAAATCTTAGTTGTGCCAATAAATAATTAAAATATAATTACATCAAACAGATAAATAATTCAATAAGTGTTTCTTTAAATTACTAGCTATAATTGTTGCTGCTGAATAAGCATAATTAGGTGTCCTTAAATGTAAAATAACTATTGAAAGTAAACATACAAAAGAGAAAAATCCTTTGAAAATATTGATCCTGAAGACCCTGTCAACATTACCTTTTTGTTTGTGCACACTTGTCAATAAAATGTACAATTTTATAATGAGGTCTACCTAAGTCATAAACTAGAATTGTATTTGATCAAATAACTTCTTATAAAAAGAAGGCTGAACAATTCCTTTCCCTGAATTCTTTTTGGTTTAGGGGTTATATGCCTGGCATGTTTCACAGAAGATATAAAACTTTAATTTTCAAAAAAAATAAACTAAGAAGTAAGTGTACATCTATTTTTCAATGATTCAGCTGTAAACAAGCTAAGGCAGAAAACTTCAAATATTATCAAATTCAATTACAGTTCTTTTTTTTTTTTCTGGTCGTGGGGCCTGAACTCTGGGTCTGGACACTGTCCCTCAGCATTTCAGCTCAAGGCTAGTGCTCTACCACTTGAGCCACAGTGTCACTTCCAGTCTTCTAGTAGTTTATTGGAGATAAGAGTCTCATAAACTTTCTTGTTTGGGCTGGCTTTGAACCACCACCCTCAGATCTCATTCGCCCCAGTAGCTAAGAGTACACGTGAAAGCCACCAGCATCTAGCTTGTTGGTTACTGTTTTTTGTTTGTTGTTGTTGTTGTTGTTGTTGTCTTGTCGGGTCTCAACTCTGGGCCTGGGCACTGTTTCTCAGCTCTTCAGCTCAACGCTAGTGCTCTACCACTTGAGCCACAGCGCCACTTCTGACTTTTTCTGCTTATGTGGTGCTGAGGATCGAATCCAGGGCCTCATGCATGCAAGGCAAGCACTCTACCACTGAGCCATCTTCCCAGCCCTACAGCTCATTTTTAATTTGGAAGAAATACAAGTAAAAAGAATCAATTAAAAGGCAAAAATTTCTAAAACTAAATATTCAATTGATTTTCCTAAGTTCATACATAAAACTTTGTACTTTTATGAAAGAAAAGCAGAAACATACTTTTTGATGTGATATACTTTCAGCTGTGTGAATGTCTTCCTGATTTTTCAGTACTTTTTGTGTGTCCATATTGAGAACCTGAAGTTGCTGGATCAGCTCAGCTTGCTGTGCTGTATGTTCACTGTTCTGTTTGTATAGGTTCTGTAACTCCTGCAATTCTTTCCTGTGCAAAGTAAATAATATATGCAAGCTTGAATACAAATCATCTCACCTAAGGTTCACCTAAGGTTGGAGATTAGCTTCCTGTTTTTCATTTATTATTCTTTACTACAGGAAAATATAATAAAAAATATATAAAGTATTGATAGAACTACTATGATTTTCAAAGGTAAATACTTATCAATTTTCTATTATGGCTTGATAGTAATAAAATCCCTGGATACATGGTCATAGGACCACCTTCCTGTTGAAATTAAATCAGTACTACAGTTCCAAGAATCAACAAACAATCTCAACTACAGTTATCAAATCATTTTGAGCAGAGGATAAGTCCATTTTCATTTTGTATAATACAGAACTTGAAATACATTTACAAGTGTTGCAAAAGGCAATTAAGCATCACTGCTAATATTAGTTTGAAATCACAGGGGCCTAAAATAAGACCAAGATAAGGAGTCACCAAAGTCAGAAGGAGAGAGAATAGCATAAGGAAAAACCAATCTGTGTAAGTTCCCATGTGATTACTAGTAAGAAGGAAGAAAAAAGACCTATTGGTGGTAATCACCACGAGAATCACACCTCTGTGTTAGACATTTTGAAAATGCTGCAGCAGTAAGTCCTGTGTGATACATATTATGTAAAATTAGAAATTATTTTATATATTCTATTTGAAAAGAAAAATACTTATGGAAATGCATTTCATCAAAATTTATTTTATAAGCCAGGTGTGATGTCTCATACCTTGCTACTCAGAAGGCTGAGATTGTGAGGACCATGATTCAAGACCAACAACGGCAAAAAAAAAAAAAAAAACTCATTAGATCCTCATATCAAACAATTAAAAACTGGGTGCAGTGATACAGGTGCATTATCCCACATGTATATTCTTCCAACATGGGAGGAAAATAAGTCCAGTCAAAAAGCAGGACCCTATTCAAAACATAAAGAAAAAGGACTACAGGTACAGCATAAGTAGTACAGCAGGACCTGCATATCAAGCACAAGTCCCTAAATTCAAATTCCAGCGCCCCAAAAAAGGTATACTTCATATTATTCACATTTTGAGATTTCATCTTAAATAGTATTTTCTTAACCTAGAGTTTCACACTGGTATTTCATAAAAATAAACTAAAGTTTTAAAGTACAAAAGAAATATGCAGGCTGGGCACCAGTGGCTCACACCTGTAATCCTAGCTACTCAGGAGCCTGAGATCTGAGATTCGCAGTTCAAAGTCAGCCCAGTCAGTAAAGACTGTGAGACTCTTAACTCCAATAAAACACCAGAAAACTGGAAGTAGCGCTGTGGCTCAAGTGGTAGAGTGCTAGCCGTGAGCTGAAGAGCTGAGGGACAGTGTGCCCAGGCCCAGAGTTCAAGCCCCACAACTGACAAAAAAGAAAGAAAGAAAGAAAGAAAGAAAGAAAGAAAGAAAGAAAGAAAGAAAGAAAGAAA